TCTCAGGAGCAACAGCCCCTAAAGCAGCCCAGCCTAGCGCCAGAGCAAGCAGAGTAGCCCGAAACAAGGCTCCCACTAAAACAAAGCAAGTGGAAACTGATTCCGCAACAGCAGAAGCCCGGCCATTGCCTGGACTTATCACATACAAAGTAAATGTGGGAGGGAAAGCGAAGCCCCAGCTGCTTTCACTTGATCTAGAATACGAAGATTGGAAGAGTGCCATTTCTGCGACACCTGGATTACCGGAGAACAAACGCTTCAGGCCAGAGATCACTTGGAAGCTGGGCACAGCTCCGAAGATGCAAGACCCGCAGACAGTTGACGATAATCAAGAATACCAGCTGATGGTGCATGAAATAGTCACGCAGCATGAGAAGGATGGGAAGCAGCCAGAGGTTGTCATCATCATTCAAAATTTGGTCTGTTGCACTTTCATACTATCACAAAATCTGCTTGTTTGTTGAAGCTAAATGCGGCTTCCAGCCAGAGAAAGATCAAAGAAAGACTGGCCAGAAAAGTACAAAGAAGAAGCAAGGATCACGGAAAGCCAGGAAGAAAAGATCAAAGACTGGCCGGGATGACTCCAGCTCCTCTGACAGTGAGACTGACTCTGGCTCTGCGGACTCAACCACGGATGAATCCGATTCTGATCATTCACGTTGTGCGTGGCGCAAGAAGCCAGCAAAGCTGGCACTTTGGCAAATTGAAGACTTACTCCATGAGAAGCACCATTTCTGTGAGCAGCACCTCAAGAACTGCTATGTTATGCCAAGTGGAAAGCACCTTTCCCTCACAAAGGCAGTTGCCAAGCGATGGGCTGGAGCAATTGTAAGATTTTCACTAATACAAATATATGTTCAGTACTGAATGACACTAGGAAAGTGGAATTGCTACACTCGAAAAGCCGCCCGCATCAGTCCTTTCTACTGCTGATGGAATTATTCCCCCACTGCTAGGTCATCGCTCCAATGCAAAATCAGTTTCTGCTCCTCTGCCACAGCCACCTCCGCCAGCCTCATCTATGCCACAAATGGTTGTACTACAACCCCCCCCTCCATACCATGGTCTGTACCCTAGTCATGCATTCCAGAATGCATATGGACATCAGTGTACCACCTGTGAGCATGCTGCCAGATATCATGGATGCCATGACTATCATCGACCACACCCGCACTTGGAACAAAATTTCGGCTCTCAGGCTGTGCATTCCCAACGCGGTGCCCCAGATCTTGCACCAGACAGTGATGATTTTCCCCCTCCATCAGCAATATTCCCATCAATCACGGAATGGTTCGAGAGACTTGAATGTGATAGGAATATTTTCCCTGATCCTGTCCCCCTTGCTGTATTTTTGGAGCCATTGGCTGTACTGGGCTATTTCCATCTTGATGATCTTGATCGCGCATGCAGAAATCCGGGAGGCTTGGAGTCATTAAATGTTGGATTTGCCTGTGGCATTGCTGAAAAGCTTGGAAAGCTTGTCCGGCATGAAGTCAAGCACATTATTAATAAGTATAATGCACCTAGCCACCACTAGCTTTCGTAGTCGTTTAATAGTGCAACTCTAGATAGCGTACAATGTCTATAATGTTTAAAAATAACTAGTCTTCCTCTTCTACATCATAGCCAGCGTTAAAGAACCAGCCAAATGCATCCTCAGCTGTAATAGAATAGAATAAATCACATAGATGTGCTTTAACTGCCTGTTCATTTTGCTGTCTTTGCATAAGATGTCGCAGAGATGGTCCACTACGCCGAATTCTTGCTTTGAATGCAGCAAAAGCCTCCTCAATTGGGTTCAAGTCGGGTGAGTATGGTGGGAGAAATATGAGCCGGCATCCACTGCCAAAATGAGGAAATTAAAAAGTGTTAATCATAACATAAACTCATACATACTTGTGTTCAACCAGACGACAGATAGAAGGATGCTTATGGATTGAGCAGTTATCAAGGACAATAGTGGAATTTGGCTGGGGGAAAGGGTTCATCTCACGTAACAGCCTTCGAATGAAATGGCGAAATGTAATTGTTGTATATGCACCTATGCGTGCCTCAGCATATAGTGGTCCTTCAAGAGAAAGTGCTGGAATGTCAGGGCACACCCGCCTGACCCGGGTCCACCCGGACCCACCCGGCCACACCACACCTGCTCCCCACTGTCCAACCCTCTCCCTCTTCCTTCCTCTGTCTCTCCTCCTCTTTCCTTTCTCTCTTTCTTCCCCTTTCTTTATCTCATTCCTCTCATCTTCCTTTTCTTGTTTATTTCCTTCTATCTACACGGACCACCCTCCTTTGTATCAATGTACTATTGACCCGTCCGGCCCACACACCCCGGACGGCTCCCCACTGTGCCCAGCACGCGCACATGCAGTGGACGCTCTCGGGATCCCCCATGGGGATACCTGGATGCCTGCGGCTGTCTCCGAGGGTGACGTGGCACTCGTCATGTGACTCAAGCCACATGTACATAAATGTACCTGAAGTGGGAACCGAAGAAGTAACCTTCTTCTCACATTCTCCACTTCAGGTAAGTAGTATAGTTTTCCCTTTTAATAACAATAACACATTCTCCACTTCAGTCTAAGTGGCCAGGGACTGCTGTCCCTTCCCGGACCCGCCAGCATGCACGCCTGGTTTGCACCCCGCGAGGGCCCTCCTGCTGGGCGATACATCCGGACCCCCTCTACCCCGGACGCGTCCCTGACATGGAAGCAGTGAATATCTAACAGAATCAGTGACAACACACTCTAAATCAGAGCTGAGGCAGCATACCGTTTTCCACAGATCCGACTTGCACGAACCTGAGGTCGGTGGCCTTTCCGAGCCCATCCTCGCAACCGGTTAGTATTGCGACTGTCCACTGCAGTTTCATCCACAAAAACAAGCTGATCAGGCAAGTAATTATCCCGAATTAAGCGACGATATCTATCCTGGTCTCTCTCATTTCTTTCAGCAGCCACTTGGTGGATCTAGATGTCGGTGATGGATTGGTGTCAGGGACGCGTCCGGGGTAGAGGGGGCCCGGGTGAGACGCCCGGCACTGGAAGTCTTGCAGGGGGTGGAGCGGGCGTGCGTACTGGCAGGCCCGGCTCAGGAGGCAGTCCCTGGCCACTTAGACTGAAGTAGGAAAGGATGTTATTATTATTAAAAGGGAACACTATGTTGCTTACCTGAAGTGGGAAAGGATGAGAAGAAGGCTACTTCTTCGGTTCCCACTTCAGGTATGTTTATATACATGCGGCTTAGGTCACATGATGGGTGCCACGTCATCCTTGCGTACAGCTGTAGTCACCCAGGTGTCCCCGTGGGGGATCCCGAGGGCATCCGCTGTGAACGCGCGAGCTGGAGATAGCGGGGGTCGCCCGAGGCGCCTGGGCTGGGCATGTCGTGAGCGCGCTGCGGGTGGGTCAATGGTACATTGATACAAGGAAAAGTCGTCTGTGTAGAATAAGGAGAAAATAAAGAGAAGGTGAAATAAGTGAAGAGGGAGTGGAATGGAGAAAGAAGGAAAGAAAGGAGAGGGGGGAGGAGGTAGGGGAAGGCCGGGTGGGGCCGGGTCAGGCAGGTGTGCCCTGACAATTGGGTTATCAAGCTTAGGGTTGCCACTGTTGACTCACCGATTTCATACAGAAACCATTACGTCGAAGTGTTCTCCATATACACGATTGGGATACAAGCCTTCCCCATTGCATTTTGAGCTTGCCTTGAATTTCATCCAAATACAAATCTGGTCGTGCAGCAAGCAAACCTTTGATAAACTATGATATAGTCAGAACCCAGGGCAAATGTGCAAGGGAATATAATTACATGCTCATCTGCATCACTTAGGGCCCTCTGACCGCTGGCTGCCCTCGTATTTGGTGCATCAAAGCCACCATGTTGTGCATATTGCTCTCTCCAGCGTTGAATTGAGCGCGTACTCACACCAGTCAAGAATTGAACCACATGTGGTTCCAAATATGCATTCATGCGAACTATGAGGGCTTTGAGATCACTACTAAAGTGGCAAGGGGCCATTGTTCACTTTGAGTTGAGCACGGGAGTTGGAGTGCAACATTGGGAAATTCCGTAGGCGCCGTCAAAGTGATGCCTGCGACATCCTCAAAACATACACAGATAACTTCCATTGTTCATATGTTAAATTTACGACAATATAGGACTATAAAATACAGCAACCATTGACCAACACTGAACCCTAGACACTAGTCCGCTGCCGTAGCTGCCCCATTATCCAAATTCTCAAAAATTCATCAAATCGTTCCGTCAAAAAAAACACTCCTGTGTTTTTTCCCCAACACTCTGCTGCCAAAATTTCAGCCAATTCCATGCAGCCGTTGAGGTGAAAAGTGGGGATGAAGTTCAGCTGCCGGGAATTTTAAATATTGACGCTATGCACAATCGGAAAAAAAGGTTGCTAGATATCAGCTCCATGAACATGATCCAACAATCCGTTTGGAAAAAAGCGGTGTTGTTGTGGAGTAAATGGGGGATGAAGTTTGGCGCTGTTCAAGTGCCAGGATTCATATGGAAGCAAGAAATCCGTCACGCAACAAATCAACTGAAAACGGCAGTATTCCAATCTCAGTTCGAAACTCACGCGCATCTCTCCAGACGCGATTGTACGCTCTAGAAACCTTTCCTACGCGCAATCCACACGTGTGCGACTCTCAGATGTGCGACTGTGCTGATTAAGCCATTCTCACTCGAAATTCAAATGCCTGCGCACACCTAGAAACGCGTGCTTGCACCCACTCCACTTTCTTCTCTGTGTTCACAGCTCCCCAGGCTCAGACACACGACTTTTGGGCCCCCCACACACATTTTCCACGTCCCCCACCTGCTTTTTTGGCAACACACATGATATTTGCACCTGCGCACACTGAGAAACTCGTGCCAGCACATCCTAGTCCAGCCACACATGATATTCATGTGCTGACGGCACTCTACCTGTGTATTTGCCCTCCGACACTCTCTCTCGCACACGGCTGTGGACACTTGCCATGTACTGGCTTGATGGTAGGGATATGATTCTGCCTCGGGGCGGTGAGGAATACTGGGAGACACCTGAACGCGATGAGGTGATAGAGAAGGCTCACAATGCGATAGGAGTCCTTGCTGACAATCTCAAGGCTTCTGTTGTTTTGGGTGATCGCACGTGGTGGTGGATTTCTGCATGTGAATATATTGACACTGTCATTGGGATCGTGCATCGCACGGCTTTGTGGAGTTATAGGGACGAGGGTGTTGGGTATAACACATGTAAGGATATGTTTGAGTGGCTGGACGCCATTTACGCTGAGTGGACTTCTATTCCTATGGTCCGCTTGTATGAGCTTGCACGTGAGCGCTATCTGAAGTCCCTTCCAACGGATCTCATTGTCCCTCTAGCCTTTGCCACATTTCACCCATCCCTCTTCCCCTTGATCTTGTGGCCGACTCTGCACAAGCCGATGACGAGCCAGAATCGGATAAGAAAAACAAAGGTGGGAAAAGTACTTAGTGTGCTCTTGCCACCACAGGTGGCATCCACCAATCATACGCCAGTGTAAAGTGGGCATGAGACAACATGACACCAGTTGGTTTGATGGGGTATAGGAAGTGCAAAGTGCATTCGTTTAATCGGATAAAGCTAGGGGAATGAAGAGCATTGGCAAAGCTAACTGGTGGCAGGTAATGGTGAATGTAGCGTGCTTATGGCAGACAAAAAGAAAAGGGAAAAGAACACCCATGTGCAGAAAGATATTACCAGTTTGAGGGAAAGATTGATGATGTTGGCAGAAAACATTCCTGTTCCGCTAACTTCACATGCAAAAGCCTTATCATAAGCAAGGTCAGGGCTGCACAGCAGTCATTTCTAGTCCACAATTCGTGGGAATTCTGCAAATGTATTGACTGCTTTTCTGCACATGTCCTTTCCTCCGACGGATCTTTCTGGCTCATTTGTCCCGCAAACTCTGTAGCGCAAATTTAGGCCCCAAAGGTGCTGTGCACAAGATCCTCTGTAACCTAGGGTCACCATGACAATATGACATATAATTCGGACCACTTTCACTATCGTACCGGTAAGGCAGGCCACCTGGCCCCTCTGCAAACAATCGATTGTTATCTTTGAGCGCTTGTAGCTAAAACTGTTACAACTATGTTAACTCAGACTTCAGACACCCAATTGGCTCCTGTAAGTGTGAGTTTGACTCACTGCACATTCCTCTTCACTCATTATTCCAATCTCAGTTCGAAACTCATGCACATCTCTCCAGATGCGATTGTACATTCTAGAAACCTTTCCTACATGCAATCCACACGTGTGCAACTCTCAGACACGCGCCTGTGCTGATTAAGCCATTCTCACTCGAAATTCACATGCCCGCACACACCTACATCAGCAAAAGTCTGTTATGCTCCGGAGCATCAAGAGTGGCTGGAGCATGTGGGAGACAAAACAGCAGATTGGGCACTCCTGGAGCCAATAGTGTTCTCCTGGGAGGGGGTTCAGGAGCAGCTGGGAGTGGTGAGGAGTATGTAATGTGCCAGGAGCAGTGGGAGGAAAATTTTGGTCTCTAAAAAGTTGAAAAAAAAAAATTTAGGGGAAAATCAAAAAAAAATTCAGGAACTATAGTGCCTTTAAAGTGCTTTCAGGACATATAATTATTTGCAAAATTGAGGAAGAAATGATGGAGAAAAATGGAAAATACTTTCGGAGACCCAAGAAATAATGAGAACTGAATTGATGGAAAAGTCTGAAAATTGAATAGGAAAGTGAGGGGAAGCCTTGTAAGCATTGTTATTTTCTGCTGTTCTGATTTTTCCTGATTGTTCTTGGTCTCACTCCCAGCTGCTCCTGGACCCTCCCAGGAGCTTTCAGGAGCTTCCAGGAGTATTGAGGAGCAGCTGGGAATGAGACCAAGAAGAATCGGGAAAAATCAGAACAGCAGAAAATAACAATGCTACAAGGCTTCCCCTCACTTTCCTATTCAATTTTCAGACTTTCCCATCAATTCAGTTCTTGGGTCTCCAAAAGTATTTTCCATTAGCTGCTCCTGGACCCTCCCAGGAGCTTCCAGGAGTATCCAGGAGTATCCAGTAGCAGCTGGGAGTGAGACCAAGAACAATCAGGAAAAATTAGAACAGCAGAAAATAACAATGCTACAAGGCTTCCCCTCACTTCCCTATTCAATTTTCAGACTTTCCCATCAATTCAGTTCTCATTATTTCTCGGGTCTCCGAAAGTATTTTCCATTTTTCTCCATCATTTCTTCCTCAATTTTGCAAATAATTATATATCCTGAAAGCACTTCAAAGGCACTACAGTTCCTGAGTTTTTTTTGATTTTTTCCCTAATTATTTTTTTCAACTTTTTAGAAGTCCCTATTTTTCAAAATTTCCTCATTTCCCTCTATATCCCCCCCTCATTCCCCCCTCATTCCCCCTCATTCCCCCCCTCATTCCCCCCCTCATTCCCCCCCTCATTCTCCCCCTCATTTCCCCCTCATTTCCCCCCCTCATTCTCCCCCATTTCCCCCTCCCCCATATTCTGCCAGCCTGAAAGTGATTAAGTTGCCAGATTAATCATATATCAGGCCATAAATTTTGATTGTGTATTGGTGAGTCTCAGTGTCCTTGATATATAGTATAGTGTTTGATCTAAATGTTAAGCAGTGTCTTGTTGGGTTAGTCTTGTGGTAGGAGGTATTCATGGGGGATCTTCCCTCTTTTTTTTTCCTTTTCATTTTCAAATGCTCCAGGAGCTCCCAGAAGCTTCTCACCCCTATACACTTTGAAGCATTTAAATTGTATTTACTGGATATGTTTGTGCACAAAGCAATGCTCCAGGCCCTCCTGGGAGTGCCCTGGAGTACCTAGCCAACTCCGGAGGAAATGGGCTGTTCCTGGACCGGCCAATCTCCTCCTGATTCTCCCAGTGCTCTCGATACTCCGGAGCACTCAGGAGCATAACAATTTTTTGCTGATGTAGAAATGCGCACTTGCACCCACTCCGCTTTCTTCTCTGTGTTCACGACTTTTGGGCCTTCCACACACCTCTTCCACGTCCCCCACCTGCTTTTTTTGGCAACACACGCGATATTTGCGCCTGCACACGCTGAGAAACTCGTGCCAGCACATCCTAGTCCAGCCCCATGCGATATTCATGCGCTGTAGGAGAAATAATGGTCACACTATGGAAACCCATTATGGAAATATGCCAGATAAATCACAAAACCTCATACGACAAGTAGATATGAGAAAACAGAAGGACACAAATTTTTACGAATTATTATGACTATACGCGATAAATCGAAAGAAAGAAAAATAGCAAAAAATACTTCAAGCTTACCATCAACGAGACGGAATTCCCGGGGGAATTTATAGCAAATATTAAAACAAGAATTAGGACAATCGACCAAGATTTGACTATAAAAACAATCAGAGAACCTCCATGGAAACTACTTTCCCACATCCGCACACGTAGCCAAGGATGGAAGTACCACGGAACAAGGATTCCTCAGGAACTAATGCAAAATTCAAAGTCGTGTTTATAATAGGAAATGTAGATGTCCCCCAAACGGACCCAATGAGAGTAATTACAGGGGAAACTACCCATAAACGACGGAGATATGACTAAAACTCCTGCAAAACGAGGACAATATCTAAAAGGCAAGCGCGAAAGTTAACCAGTAACGACCGAGACAAGCTTGATAGGCCATTAGAAAGGAAGGGATCTAATCTTAATCCTCCCAAATTTTCATAATAAAAGGATCATGCGTTAATGAGATATCCAATAACGGGAATAGCGACATCAAAAGTCCGAGCTCAGGGAAAAGACGATGTTTGCGTAGGATCCATAATTAAAACATACAACGAAATTTACACGGAAATTATGAAAAATAGGGAACTATAGTTATGCAGATTTTCAGCCCAAACGGTCCAGCCGTTGTGAAGTTATACCCATGATGGGAATATAGAAATCCACATCATGTGTAATGACACGTGAGGGTGGCGATGCGCAGGGAACCGGCCGTCAGAACCGAGATCCGCACTTCGGCAGATCGCGAAGACCAATTTCCGTCCAAATAAGGAAGAGCCCAGTCAAAACAAAGCACGGAAAGTGCAAAACAACCTTAGATCATGAGGGAAAAATCTGAAATAAATCACAGAAGCCCATATGAAAGAAATAAAAACCCGCGCATATCATAAATCCCGAACAATTAAACGGAAACGGCGCCCGCATACGAACGGCTATGGGAATGATGCATGTGATTACCGAATGTGTGTGTGAACTTTTGCTAACTCAACGAATACCAGGAAATAGGACACAACCTTAGTACCATTGGAAAGGTGGGAATTTATGATACCAAGAACGTGAGAAAACATCCAGAAATGAATGAGATATAGGGACATGAAGTTAGAAACCTGAAAACGCGCGGGAAAACAGCTTCAAGAGGTCTAGAGTCCTAAATAAAATACATAAAAATATGATATCTTCAAGGATGACCTACTATAACAACGAACAATACATATGGAGGATTAGGATGTGATAATACAAAGGGGAATCAGGGAATATGAATGAAATTCACGAAAACCACTAAACTACGACGGACCATGGCAGGAATTTTAGGGAACAATATTCTAATGAGGTGGAGAGCTATAACACATTCATTTGAGTAATTCTTGACTACTAGCAACTTTTTCTTTCAGTTTTAAACCTGAATAATTCACTCATTTACCATTTCAGTCTCATTTTAACTAAATGTCACTAAATAAAAATGGAATAAATCAGCTGAAGGTCTCAGCACAGCCGTATGCATAGTAATGCGAAGTTTGAATTCAGAATCATTGAGTCATAGCAAATTTAATGGTATATATAGGGAATTTGAAATAGGTAACTGCGGCAAATGCAGCGCAGCCAAGTTCTAATTAACCATTAAAATAGCTTAGGCGAGGGAGGACAATAAGGATTCTAGGCGCAGTCTGACTGCAGTAGAACCGCAGTTCAGCGCAGCAAAAGCGCAGTAGAACTATAGCGTGAAAATTTCATTTTTTATTCAGTTTGAGAAAAATACACTGTAAATAAATCCTGTAAATAGAGGGTAGAGCGTGAAAAAGGAAGGCGACCCAAGGAGTATAAAAGGGAGACCCTTTCTGCGACTTTTTGCCCCCCTCAGAGAAGTAAGAAAATAGAGTATTATTTTTCTCAAGCATTTCTGGTTGTCACTCCAGTGCGAAAAAGTGATATACAGTTAAGATTGCCACTGTAGTAAAAGGCAGCAATTAAGGAGAGAAATATTAAGTAGATATTTCAACAGGAGAGCTGGTTAACACTCCAGATTTCAAAGTGTAAACACAAAACAGTTATCTTGCTACTGTTAAAACAAGCAATAAAATAAGACAAAAATAAAACAAACCCAAGGGACTCTCCAGACACAATCCAAATTCATTAACTGAATAGAATCTTTGAAACTTCACCAAGTAGAAGATTAAATTCAAGTTTAAATCCAAATTAAACAACGCTACACAGAATTACACCTAGACAAATTAAGAAATTTCAATAAAGAAACAGCTCCGCAGGGCTCAGTTTATCTGTAAGTCAATTCCCAGGAACTTTAAAACTAACCCATAAAAATAGAATTAGCCAAAACACTCGGATTGGTACTATATTTACAATAAATAACACTAGTACACTTCCCCATCCTAACTAAAGAACCAGGGAACAGCTTGGTGGTGGTCTCGTTTGAACCTCCCAACTGACCTTCCTTCGTTCTCTCCTTCAGTGCTGACGGCACTCTACCTGTGTATTTGCCCTCCGACACTCTCTCTTGCACACAGCTGTGGAAACTCGCCATGTACTGGCTTGATGGTAGGGATATGATTCTGCCTCTGGGTGGTGAGGAATACTGGGAGACACCTGAACGCGATGAGGTGATAGAGAAGGCTCACAATGCGATAGGAGTCCTTGCTGACAATCTCAAGGCTGCTGTTGTTTTGGGTGATCGCACGCGGTGGTGGATTTCTGCATGTGAATATATTGACGCTGTCATTGGGATCGTGCGTTGCGAGGCTTTGTGGAGTTATAGGGACGAGGGTGTTGGGTATAACACATGTAAGGATGTGTTTGAGTGGCTGGACGCCATTTACGCTGAGTGGACTTCTATTCCTATGGTCCGCTTGTATGAGCTCACATGCGAGCGCTATCTGAAGTCCCTTCCAACGGATCTCATTGTCCCTCTAGCCTTTGCCACATTTCGCCCATCCCTTTCCCCTCTTCCCCTTGATCTTGTGGCTGACTCTGCACAAGCTGACGACGAGCCAGAATCAGATAAGAAAAACAAAGGTGGGAAAAGTACTTGGTGGGCTCTTGCCACCACAGGTGGCATCCACCAATCATACGCCAGTGTAAAGTGGGCATGAGACAACATGACACCAGTTGGTTTGATGGGGTATAGGAAGTACAAAGTGCATTCATTTAATCGGATAAAGCTAGGGGAATGAAGAGCATTGGCAAAGCTAACTGGTGGCAGGTAATGGTGAATGTAGCGTGCTCATGGCAGACAAAAAGAAAAGGGAAAAGAACACCTGTGTGCAGAAAGATATTACCAGTTTGATGGAAAGATTGATGATGTTGGCAGAAAACATTCCTGTTCCGCTAACTTCACATGCAAAAGCCTTATCATAAGCAAGGTCAGGGCTGCACAGCAGCCATTTCTAGTTCCGAGATACAAGCGCAATTTTACCCTTAATCCGAATCCGCAAATCTGCCGGATTGCAGATCAATCCGATCTGCTAGGAGCCCTAATCTTCAGATATATTTATCGCACATTTTAACGCCTGCACCATCCTCGGACCCAAGAGAATTCCAGTTAAAAGGGGATGGGTGCTTTGAACGAGTCAAGCGAAGGTGTATAGTGTTGTTCCGTCTTGCGTTAAATGTGATGTGACCATTTGCATGAGCGCTCCTGCACGGGCAGACAGGATGAACAGATTTGGAATTGATAAGCTGCCCCCTTGCAAACAGCAGCACCGTTGCAGGTGCACAGATCCCTCACATGGATGGATCAATGAAATGAGGGACTGGGATGCAACTGCGCTTTCTCAAGTTGGATGTACTTAATGGAGGAACGAGATTAAGGAAAACTTGCATTCCACACCCCGACAAGGACACTATGCAACCTGTGAGCTAGCTCATACTCCAAGTGCTCTTGACCTGCAGTACCGCCCCAAATGTCCCACCTCGACAGATCCATCATACCATCCCCAAGCGCATCCTCGTGGTCCCAGGTGGGCTCACCAGCACCTTTCATATTCTTCAGGACACCTTGGAGAAAGTGGTCGCACAAGAGGTCATCGAGGGGGCACATATCCCAGTTCCCAATGTGGTCCAGTTTGAGGACCTTGCCTGCAATGTCGTCATAGCCAGGAACGAAGGGGATGACAACATGGCCACGCTATTGCTCATAGTGAGAACAGACACAGTAAAATGAAAAACATAGCAAACATCAGGATTGACACCAAATTGGTAGTTGTCCCATGCATCATGCAAATCGCTACGCAGTAACAGCACATTCTGAATCGAGTCGATTTATGTTGGTCCCCCAACCTCTGCAAGAGGGGCGGGATCTGTGATACGACTTGGGTAGCCTCTATGAGTCCACTAGATTTGCAGCGTCAGGACAGCAGGAATGAGAGGGTAAGGACATACCTGGATGTCATGTGCGCGTGGAAAAATGTGCACTGCTTTGAATCGACTATAATTGCCTCTGATCACTGGGAGACCTGAGATGAGGCAACAAGGGTCACGAGCATGGACTCGCGTTCGGTAGTGCTCTGTCTGCGGAGAATCCGTCTGGTTTGCACTAAACGTCTTGATGGGAGTGTGCAGCTTACCCTTGAAGGGGTATTGGAGATGGTTGGGTGGCGGACACGGGCTGAGAGGGTGTTCCAACTGACAGTGATTGGGGTAGCATCTAAAGACAATGGATGACAACACCACAGAATGAACCAGCTTGCACGGACCTGGGCGAAGGAGTATGTATGTCCCTGGTTTGGGGACTTCTGCATTCGGAGGACAAGGAGCCCCATGTCGCTCGGGCACGGTCTCATCATAACGAAAAACCGCCCAGTCTTCGTTTGAGAACAGAACTCCCAGTCCATGATGCCATACTGCCAGAAGGCTAAGACATATGAGGATAACGAGGGCTCAGTGGTTGATCAAATAACGAACTTGACAAAACATTTCCATCGAAGTCGCGGAGGACAACATCTAAGTTTTGATCCATGGTAAGTGACACTGCAGTTCAACAGGAGTCACTGTTGGAGAGCAAGCGGATAGCATGTATTTACCCCTATTTACACCGAAAATAGATCTATAGTGTCAAAGACCAGATTGAGATGAAGGAATGTCTCTGTGGCAGAGGGCTTCGGCCTCAGCGACTTATGCCAGGAGCGCTGTGCCAAGTAACATGCCCTAACTTACTAACTGGCAACCAGAACTAACAGGGGGTAAACTCTAGTCGATTTTATTACTGAGGTGTAACCTATGTACAAGTTGAGTATATATAGTTACAACGAAGGCTGGCCCGTAAATGGCAGGGCCAAGCAGAGCGGAGCTAACGGAGTTACACATTAGCCGATTGAATATTACCGACAGGTCAGGTTACGGGGTTAGCAGAATGGTAGGCGATAACCCAGAAATGGAAAGGAGGGATAGGCCTGAAGGTGGGCTTGCAGGGCAAGTGAGTGAATTGCCCAGCGGAGGCGGGAGTGTGCTAGCGGACGTCAGAGCTGTCCGGAAACCTTCAGGGCTCTGTACTTAGGGAGGCGTAAGTAATATATTGAAAAGAGGGGGTGGTGACCATCGAAGAGAAGTGGAGGTGGTTGCGGAATACGGGAGCTCCGAGGTTAGTGAGGAAGGAGCGGAGGTAGTTTGGAGGCTTCAGAGGTAGTGGAAGTCGATGGCCAAGTATGGATATGACATATAGAGTTGACTGCCATCCTGACTGAGTTTCGCCACTGAGCCCCCTTTACAACAGTACTCACTGCATTTAGAGAAAGATTATCCATAGCTGAATACTGTACCCACATGACCAATTACCGGCTGAGGTTCCAAGTGTGACACAAAATAGTCAACTGGCTTCTCCTTGTGACATGTGACAAGCAACTGGAAAGGTTGGTGTGACACCACTGACACTGGATGCTTGCCCAGAATCTTCCCACGGGTCCACACCCCTGTTTGCCTCAGGCCTCAGAAGTCCATCTGAGTGATATGCTTTGATGAGCTGTACATTAACAGGGTAGAGGTAAAAGGCTAGTCCACCCTTTACAGCTACCCTGAGGGTTTATATACAATCTTATACATTCTTGGCACAAATAAATAGAGAAGCCTCTGCAATGCTATATTAGCATTGCTGTCATATCCATACAATCCCAACCTCCACTATGGGCTGCCGGAACTCTGAAACTGACTCTGGAGCCCCACTTCCCTTTTGCCACCTTCTTCATTGCCGACTCCCAAGAGGTTATCCCACCTCCAGCTCCAACATCATCTTTCGTCCGACTCCGGAACATTCCGGGTCCAACCTCAACCTTGACACCTTCCAGATGAGTACGTAACTACACTCCCAACTCCGGACCTCCACTCTGGAATCCCATTCATGTCTCCATCTTGGAATCTGTCAGGGGATGACTCCTGGGTCCCCATGACCCTCCCCTATGGTCCACAGCCCTATGTGTAACCAGCCCTATCCAGGGCACAACCTACTGTGGGGCTGATAATTACTATAGATGAGCAGGTATTGCTCGAGTGTCTGGTTCATCTGTTTGGTTTGTCCATCTCTGTTACAGGAATGGGTTCCAGGGAACCCAACCTGAACTGTTCAGCTCACTAATGGAGGTGGCTGCATAGCCATCGGAGGGAGAGCGAAATGGGATGAGTGTCTGGAAGTACAGCCTGTGGGTTGGCCAACAGTAACTTGGCGCTCCTGGGAGTGTACCGGTAGCAAGTATAACATGGGCTCCTTGAAGGGGCCACCTGGCTGTCTGCTAACAGGGACTTGGCGCTCCTGGGAGTGTGCCAGTAGCGGGTGTGCTGGGAGTGGTCTGCTAGCGGTGACTTGGCACTCGATGGAGCGTACCAGTAGTGTGGGATACTGGGACTCCCTTTGGGAGTCACCCAGTTGGTGGCTATCGGTGACTTGGCACTCATGGGAGCGTACTGGTAGCGGGAGTTGTTGGGGAAAGCGGGCTGGTGGACCAGTGCACAGTAGTGGGTGGCCGTGGGAAGTGGGACCTGTGGGTGCATGGCCAGGCATCCTGGAGCTGCCTGGACCATATCCCTCTCCTAAGGAGGTGGGATAAGCTACAGTTCCTGACAAGGAACTATTGGTTGGATGGGAGTGGGCAGCAGGAGGTTGGGCATGGGAATGCCCTCCTCATTGTGGTTTTGTCATGGAAAGGATGAATAGGGAGGTGGACATGGTTCCAGGGTTACAGGTTGAGTGTACAGTGGTGGCACAATGGTGTGATGGTTACAATTGCAGTACAAGGTTTGTGGGTTATGTATTCGATAATGAAAAACATCTCGGCATTTGCCATACATGTCATATGACTTGTGTCTATCTAATACAAAGGTTGTAATGGCCAAGGGAAGTCCCTTGGAAATAAACAAATCCCCCAGCCAGCACCAAAACCCAGTGGGAAAGCTTGGCATGGGGTTTGGCAAAGAATGAAGTGAAGGGAAGGAAATGTCTTACCTGTGTGCATGGTCCATAGGAATCTCCATTTCCATAACAGTCTCCTTCCAGATGATAACTGGAGGTGAAGTGGAGGCAGATGTTGAGGGCTTTACCAAGTGAATGGAAAAAATGGGAAACAAACTCCAGACCCCTGTCAGAGGTGACATGGGAAGGAACTCCATGCTTGGAGAACATGTGGAGAAGGGATAGCTTGGCCAGTTCTGGAGAGGTGATGGTATCGTGGGTAGGGATGAAGATGCACTGTTTGGACAGTGTCAGGGACGTGTCCAGGGTCGAGGGGGGCCTGGATGTAACTCCTGGCACTGAGGCCCTCATGGGGTGTGGAGCGGGCATGCATAGTGGCGGGCCTGATGCGGGACAATGGTCCCTGGCCACTTAGACTGAAGTGAGAATAGTGAGTTGATATTAAAAGGGGGAAACTATGCTACTTACCTGAAGTGGGAATAGTGAGAAGAAGGTTACTGTCAGGGGATGACTCCTGGGTCCCCATGACCCTCCCCTATGGTCCACAGCCCTATGGTGTAACCAGCCCTATCCAGGGCACAACCTACTGTGGGTAAGAAGATGTATAAATAAAGAGGCAAGTAGATATGTACACTTGCCTACTGTGGGTAAGAAGATGAGAAGGAAGCTAACTTCTCATCTTCCCACAGTGGCCACAATATCAGGCAAACTTCTGGGGATACCCAGAAGTCACATGAGGGGGTGGGAACCGGGCCCGGAACATGCGGCATGTGGATGCGGGAAGTGCAGCGGGTGGACATGGGTCCGGATGTGGGTTGTCCAGGCTAGTCAGGGTGTGTGCCCTGACAGTTACTTCTTTGGTTCCCACTCCAGGTACATTTATATACATGCAGCTTGGGTCACATGAGGTTTGCCACATCACCCCGCATACAGCTGCAGTCACCCAGGTGTCCCCATGGAGGATCCCGAGGGTGTGTGCTGTCAAAATTGTATCCGGTGCGACTACTGGACTTATCCGGAGCTCCAATTCAAATGGCTTCAAATCCAGGTCACGTGGCAAGGACATAAAATCATGGACAAGCCTGGTATTGAACCCAGGACCTCTAGCATGCATCCATACACTACTTGCCCTTGAGCCATGCCGGTATAGGCTGTTAAACTCTATTGTTATAAAAATGGGGCCTAATTGGCCCATTTCTATAGCATTCAGGTGCAGGAGAGGGCCGTGACATTGAGAAGATGTTACAATTAATGTAACAGATTGTTAGACACTGGTCCGGGGTCGGCACCGAGGGTCGCTGTTGCGGGCCGCTATAGGCCACGATGGCCGCGATGCCTCAAACAAGGCCCGAGGGTAGGGCATTCGGCCTCAGCAACTCTAAAGGGAGTGCTGTGCCCCCTAGCTGTCTCTTGGCCCTCATTTCAGACTTACTGGGGTTGCCTTGTTGGGGTCAGGACTTAGGGGTCGATATTAGAGCTAAGGTACAATACAGGATATATATAGGAGGAAGAAATGAATGGAAGCGGACCCGGGCCGGAGGCCGAAGGGTCCGGAAGCAAACAAGAATAAGGAGCGGGGTTGGCTGCATAGCGGCCGGCAATGACCGAGGGTCAAAACAAACAATAACAGATAAATAAAGGAAAGAGCATAGGGCCGCGATAGCGGTGATGGTATCGTAGCGGTGCTGGACTCAGAGTTGGGCCGGAGTCGGGCGCGGGGATGATAGCGGCCCTGTAGGGGCCAAGTGGGTGGGGTAGGGGAGTCGCGCTGGGCACGGTGCCGGAGGCGGACTCAGGGTGGGAAGGTTGGTGTGGGGGGTCGGCCAGGTGCAGGGGAGCCTAGGGGCAAGCAGGGGAGTGAGCAGGGAGTCCTCAGGGAGGATAGGGCTGAGGTCGGGGCTCGCGCTCACGCTCACGTAGCGGGAATGGGCTTGGGCGGCATCAGGACGGGCGGGGAGCGGGCCAGAATGCACGGCCATGACACAGATGTTGTAACAGTGGTGTTTATAATAACATGGACATCAGGTGTTTTGGGTGATAATAGTTGGTTAAGTTGTTATTATATACATGTCACGTGATAATATACTGTACAGAGGCCATAAGAGGCTAAAAATGGGAATTTCCCATTTCCATAACATCTATACTATTGGGAACATATTATATTCTCCAACATGTGCTGGGTTGCACCGTGAAGCCATCTGGGGCTAGGTGTGTCGAGTGTGTGTTGCGGGCGGGTTAATAATACATAGGGATGGAGAAAGGTCATCCATGTAGATAGAAATAGAACAAAGAGTAAAAGGAAAGAAGAACAAGAAATGAAGAACAGTGATGGAGGGTGAGGAATAAGGATAGGCAGGGTACTGGGTCAGGGCGGGTGGAGCCAGGTCAGGCAGGTGTGCCCTGACAGACAGGTGGTCCATGACGACCAAGATGGAAGTGAATCCAGAAGAGGAGGGAAGCTGTTTGATGAAATCCATGGAGATGGAGTTCCAAGGGTGATTGGGGATGGGGAGTTGTTTAAGTAAGCTGTAAGGCTTGTGATGAGGGACTTTGGCATGGGTACAAGAAGTACAA